AATGACAGAGAGTGATAGACGTACAATCGTCTCTTTAATTCAAGGGTTAATTGAGGGAAAGCATATTAAGAGCAAAGAGAGTGTTGCTAACTAGTAATGAACCCAAATCAAGTATCAGGCTAGCTAGTATCACAGTCAATAAACAGAAAGCACAAAAATATCGTGAAGTCACAAAACGCGTAGAGATTTCCTTAGAGATAGAGAAAGACTAAAATACCCTTAAGTAGAGAACAACCAAATTAGAGCAGATTATAAGTCGTAACAGACAAATAAGTCCTTGTATAACGTTCTAGATGAGAGGACGAGCAAGATAACAGCTAGGGATAGTAGTAAACCATATCAATAATAGCTTAAAATCTCTAAAAGAGACAAGTATCATAAAACTAGTCTTTGTGTGACACTCGGGAAATAGTTAGGAAACCTAAGTTACTTTATCAATATGACCATTGTCTTCTTTGTTAGAATGTCTAAGTATATACAAGTTAGTGCCAATGCACTTTAGATGCCAGTTGGCTGCAGATGCTTCAAGACTTGATAGAGTAAGTTGGCGGGGTGTACATTTCTGATGCAACTCAGGATCTCACTCTAGATATCCTAGGGTAACTTAGTTAGGCTAGGGGGTGTGTGAGCTCCGAGATGTAGAACTCTCAGTTGCACCATGATGCCTACCATAGCTTGTGTGTTGCATAGTAGTGTCAGTGTTGCATTAAGAGAATTCGTAATAGAGTTAGTGTTGCATTCAAATGATGCACAACAGAGTTAGTGTTGTATTCAGATAATACACAACAAATTAGTGTTGCATTTATATAAAGCACAACAGAGTCAATATCACATTTAGATAATGCACAACAATTATAATCATTAGGGTTAGAGACCCTTTATAGTTGTACTCATGGCGAAGCCCTTAGCAAATGATTAAGGGAAGCGTGAGACATCCTACCTCAGTGATAGAATAATTCAACCTTAAGTAGGTAGCACTTGATCTAGATCATTCATGCACCTATTGCTTAACACCATGTCTTTAGCATGCTTATGTTTATGGAACTCATAATGCTGCTCTAGATTAGGGATTATACTACTGGGCTTTATAAGCTCAGCCTTATGATATTTTCAGTTGGTAGGTCACTAGCTTGAGTAGTTCGTGGAGCACCGTCACAGCAGGACTTCCAACATCTTCTTCAGAGTACTGTACCGTAGCTTTAGTGGGCATATGTATTCATATAACCTTACCCATGTATTCATATTTGTAATTCATATTTTGTACTATTTTGATTTTAAATTATGTGTCACAGAGCTCTGATTTTTATAGTGTTTTTTGTAACTCTTATTCATGTTTATTATGATACCATTTAGATTATTTGAAAAAAAAAACGAATAGGTTTTGAAAATCAAGGGATGCCTCAATGGCTCAATGTGACACTTTAGGCTTCATCTATTGAGGTCGATAACGAAGCTTCTACTGGTGCTTGGGGGTGGTCGTTATTGGTTTTAGTAAATCGACATCCTTTTTAAATTTTGCATACATAGTGGATTTTAACATAAATAAAATTTTGAACTCAAAAATTCAAATTCTAAAATAATAGGTACCAATTCTGGGCGCCGTAGGGTGTTAATACTTCTCCACGCGTAAATGTATTCCCGAACCTGATTTCTGATTTCGCATAACAAAACTAGGTAGTTTTGATCAAATAAAATATTTTATTAAAATTATCTGATTTTTGTTGTTCCAATTAAACCTTAAAATGATTTGTGACAACTCCTCATTTTTTCATAAACCATTTTCAAAATCATCGATAATCGGTTTTCCACATAAAATTCGGTCATCACAATACATTTAATCTAATATGTTGCACTTGGTTTAAAGTTTAAACATAATAAAGTATATATTTAATTCAATTTTAATTACAACTGTGGTCTAATGAATTGTATACTTTATCTAATGAATATTACAATTAATCGTCTAATAAATTATATATTTAATCTAATGAATTGCTCGAATTGATATTACACTTATAAGTACTTATCAGGTTTAATTAATATAATTATTAACTTAATCAAATAAATTATATAATTAACACACGTTTATTGGTTGAATTGAATCAATGTAAATATGAAAATAATCAAATTAAGTTTACTGATTTCAATTTACGTTTTTCTATTAACCTAGGATAATTATAAGTAGTAGTATTTGTTCTAAAAACTCTCAATCATTTGACAATAAATACTTAAATATCATGTAGTTGCTAGTGTTTGAACTTGAAACCTCTAATGATAACAATCATTCATTTAACCACTAAAGTCGCTTGGATCATGCTATTTAGACCTGACAAAATTGACCCGAACCTGATTACCCGAACTAATTTATCCGAATCGAGACCCGAACATGATGGCCAAAATTTGACCTGAAACCCAAAAAAATCGATTTGATACGAAACCGACTCAAATTTTAGCGAAACTAAAAGTAACCCGAACTGAACCAAAATGACCCAAATTTTAGCCAAACCAGAAATAACTTGAACCAAAAGTAACTCGAATTTTATTAACTAAATCCGATTAGAACCGAATATTGACCCGTTTTTAACCCGGTGATTGATTTAATATAAAAATACTATAATATCATATTAAATTGGTTTTCAATTTATTTAAATCAAATTATGAATTATTAATGAGTTAATTGCCTCACATGTCCCCAATCTATGACCCTCATTTCAAGTTAGTCCATAAACATTTAAACATCTCAATTTCATCCTTAAACTATGACTATTATTCTAAATTAGTCCTCAAACTTTTGAACATTTCATTTTAATCCCCACGCTATGATCTTATCCTAAATTGGTCCCCAAACTTTTTGAATATTTCAATTTTATCCCAAATTATTTGTATATACTAATCACGTCTCTTGTTAATAGAACCATTAGCAAGTTATATTATTATATGTTTGAAAAAAATAAAATTTAGGTTAAACTATGGTTGAAATAGATTACATATTTGGATGTATTTGGGGATGAAATTGAAAGAACTAAAAGTTAGGGGCCAATTTAGAATGAGATTCATAGTTTGGGGATGAAATTTGAATGCTCAAAGTTTAAGGGCTAATTTAGAATGAGAGTCATGGTTTAAGGATGAAATTGAAATATTTAAAAGTTTTAAAATGAGAGTCATAATTTAGAGACATTTGATGCAATTGACTCATAAGTAATTTAATATTTTACTTTGCAACTACTAAAATAACTTTCCAAAACTATTAAATTAATTTACAAATTATTTTAATTCTTTTGTATATGAAAAATATAGTTATTTAAATTTAATATAAAAATAACTTATTTTTATACTACACAAATAAATTATTTGTAGGGTATAAAGATATCTATTTTTTTAATTTAAAATTTAAATATTATCGATGATATAATAATATAATACATTTATAAATATATTTAAAATTATATTTATTCATACATAAATGGTATATTATTATTACTTTTAAGTTTAATAAAAATATTATATTTATAATTAAACGTTAAGTATCTAGTTTAAATTTTTAAATAAATAATATAATTTATAATTTTATTTTTTAATTAAATAGGTCTTACCATAAACTTCTTAGTCTGGATCAATAAAAAATATCACAAATCTAACATATCTTATATGTCGAGTTTGACTTAAATTATAATCCGTAAATGATAATTGAATTTGAATGAAATTGAACATAAATGATAAGATTTAAAAAACACACATATTTTACAAAAATATATCAATAATTCTATACATACTTGATTTAACTTATACCCAACTCAATATGAATTGACCTGAAGATATAAAGTTTACCAAAACCGAAAATAATTGATTAGATAATGATCCACCTTGAAAATCAACCGATCCGATTTGATCCTACCCAAAAACAACCGATTTGATATTGATCTGGTCTGATCTGATATTCGAATCGACCCGACTTTCTATAGACACAAATAAAATCGAAACTCGAAATGATACAACCCAACCCGAATTAAGTCTAAATTGAAATTACCTAAACTGAACATGATCCAAATGACCCGTTTGCTACCTCTAGTGCTATTGATCTCAATTTACACGTATATATTATCGTCACTTAATTATTAATTAAAGTAAAATATGTATATTATAGTTAATGATATATATATGTTAGCATTTATTATCACATAATTGAGTCTTTAAATAAATATTACATTGTATTTACCTTAGATTTATAAAAAGAATATAATTACATTACATAATTTATATATAATTAATACAACTATAATATGTATAAAATTACAACAAATAAAAAAATAGAAATAAATTATAATGTTTATATAAGAAAATAGAGAATAAATATTAAAAAAATATAATTCATATAAAGTAAAATATTTAGTATATAAAAATGAAATTATAACAAAATTAAATTTATAAGTATGATTCCAATGATATTGACGAAAATGTGGCGAATTAATTGTGTTTTGGATACTTCCCTCGATGAAAAACATTCCCCACCCCCCACCCCCAAGAAAAAACTAATAAAAGAATCCAAAGAAAGGGGTAAGGAAATCAAAGTGTGTTGAACTCAAAAAAACTCGACTTTCTTTTAGATGCAACGGTGAAAGAGTGGAAACTAAGCAGGAAACCGTGGAGAATATTGGGTTCGAGTCTTCGAAAGACTTAAATTTTAATTGAAAGAAGTAGCCAAATTTTACACATAGGAGGCATGTGATAAAAAGCTCGCGCTGGTCTCCCAACATGCACCACCAGCTCACATTAACAAACCCACGAGAAACCCCGAGTTGTTAAAGTGCATTTTTTTTTTAATAAATGCAACCGTGTTTCAGTCCTCAGTATTTTTCAAGCACCTTGGTCCCCCCAATTTCTTTCTTCTTTATCTATACTTTTCTTCTTTTCTTTTCTAATGTCATTGCCACCCACAAGCATAATTCAACCGTGCAGTTCCATCAAACCATGCACTCCATGGATAAAAAAGATCAAGATTGAAATTTGAAAACGAACAGGCCCATGCTTGAATTACTCCATACACGTTAATGAAAATCAAATACCACAGAAAATCTCCCAAAAGAAGAAAACTAACAAAAAAAAAAAAAGAATCTCTCCCCCAAAAAAACTCGTCAAAAGTGATTAGCCCAAAATCCTCACCGAAATTGAGAAAGGAAGAAGAATTATAACATACCTGGGATTATCAATCTTTCAATATTAGCTCAGCAATCTTCAATGGCGTGTTAAATCAAATATGGAAGTTTTTAATAATCAGGCATGAACTGACTCATCTTGCCTTCTTCATCTGCCGTCTTTTCCTCTGTAATTTTTAACCAAATACAAACCCCAGTAAAGCTAAGCACCAAACTAGCAAGTCCACTTCCCAATCCGATTCCAACAATGGCCAAAACAGACAAGCCTTTGCTTTTCATAGGTGGTAAAGGGTACCCATAAAGACCCTTGTTTCCTTGAAAAGAAGTAGAATTGAACCTCGGCAAGTTCCCACTTCTGTTCCCTAAGGAAGCTGGTATCGGCCCTGAAAGCCTGTTGTTAGAGACATCAAAAGCTGACAAGCGTGCCAGAAGGCCTAATTCTTGAGGGATCTGACCCGTAAGCAAATTTTCGTGAAGATCAATGACGTTTAAATAAGCACACAACGTAAGCTGCTGAGGGATCTCTCCTTGTAAACGATTTGATGAAAGGTTTAAGACGGCCAGGTTGACCAGGTATTGTAAATCTTGAGGGATGGGGCCTGATATAGAGTTTGAAGACAAGTCAAGCGACTGAAGATTGGTACAATTGGAGAGAAAAGGCGAGATGGAACCTTGGAGGGAGAGGCTGGTAAGGGAAAGCTTGTAGATTCGACCGTTGTTACAAGTGGCACCAGGGAGATAAGAAGTGAAACCGCTGCAAGGGTTTGCGAAGGTGGATTTGGTCCCGTTTCGCAGGTTGTTTAAAGGGTCTTTCAAAGTTTGGCTTAACTGAGTTAAACAAGTCTCGTCGTTGGGATCTGGTGTGGCCAATGGAAGTGATACACAGGTTAGCAGGAAGAAAATTAAGACATCCATTAATGAAAGGAATTGGTCTTTGATGAGCTTGGCCTTGGCTATGAAGATGAAACGTTAATAAGCAAGAGAGGAAATGGTGGTGGGGTAAAAGGGGGTGGACTTCAAGAAGACGGGATTTGGTGAAAGAGTGTTTAATGAAATTGAAAGCTAAACAGAGAGCCCTAGGAGTAATGGAAATCTGGCTTCACATCCATTAATGAAAGGAATTGGTCTTTGATGAGCTTGGCCTTGGCTATGAAGATGAAACGTTAATAAAGCAAGGACAGAGAGGAAATGGTGGTGGGGTAAAAGGGGGTGGACTTCAAGAAGACGGGATTTGGTGAAAGAGTGTTTAATGAAATTGAAAGCTAAACAGAGAGCCCTAGGAGTAATGGAAATCTGGCTTCATTATTCATATACACCTTTACTTTTAATTATATATAAAAATAACAATATCAATGAGAAATGGAGTGTTATTTTTAAAGATTTTGATTTTGAATTTATGTTAATTCATTATTAATCAATTAAAATTTTCTAAATAGTACTACCTTATAGATTAATAAAAGAACCAGATAATCAAGTTGGAAATCCTTTATTAACGGGATGAAGTTAGGATTTTAAGTATAATTAATAATAAAAAATAAGAAAATTAAAATTTGAAAGTCTAAATAGGTATTTATTTTCAGATATTTTTTAATAATTAAAAAATTTGCGGGGCAGTGGCCCTGAAACTATACATAGCTCTGCATATTAATATTTTTAATTCAACCTTCAGTGATAGGATTAATTTAAGTCTAGGTGTTTGATAAAATTTGAAAATTATGTATTAAAAATGAATATTAAATTTAATAAAATTTTACATCATTTTATTAAAAGTTAAATCATTAATAAAAGGATCCATACAATGAATGAAATTAAAGTTTAAATATTAGTTTGAGAGTAAAAAAAATGGGTATCGACTTGGAGAATATATTTATTTTAGGTACAGACTTAGAATAAAAAATAGATACTAATTTGAGAAAAATATTTAATTAAAATATTAAAAATATATTTAAAATTAAAATTAAGTTGAATCATATTTATATTTAAATTAGCTGAATTAAAATTTTAAATTAGAATTGAAACTAACAAGACAAATGGGTATTTATATGAGTAAGGGGTGAACAAACAACTAAGCCAGTTGATCCGATAGGTTTTTCTAAACTGACATTATCTAAAAATAATATAATCCATCGACATTCATGGTCTAAATTAACCTAATAGAACCGATAAACATTGGTCAAATAACCACTTATTTATATATTGTAAATATATTGAAAAGTGATAAATAATAAATCAATTTTATTATGAATTTTAGTAGTCGATTAGCAATGAACAAAACCATCTTAACTGTAGTTTAAAAGGAATTAATAAAGAAAATTGAATTAATTAAAATTAATTGAATTAAATAGAACATTGAACATCAATTCTAACTAACTTAAGCTTTTCTATGAATAAATGAAGTTTTTTCCAGAAAAAAAATGTCACTTATTATCCTTAGCTCCAAAATAAAATAAATTAATCTTTCTCAAAATAAAAACTAGAATTAACATAAGCTAATTAGCTTGTGTAGTGACTAATTTGACACATTCTTTTATCGGTGATTTGTCACACTCAAAATCGAGATTAATATTTTAATCTGGAAGATTCAGAATTTTTATTAGTTTTAATTTTAATTTTGGTACTAAATTAAATAAATCTCACTTCCAGAATATTTCTGAAAAGTTTAAAAACAATTTTATAAATTTTAAAATTTTTGGAGACTCTTTTTGTGATTAATCCATTAATAGAATTGAAATTCAAATTTCATTGAAACTCCACCGGCTTCTATATTTTCTTTTCTGATCTTATTATTTATCTTTATTGCTTATTTTATATATTTATCATTATTTTCATTACATGAGGTTTTAATTTTACATTTATTTATATATACGTGTTTACAAAACCCTATAACCCATTTTATAAGTCCCTACACCGAAACCCTTGGAACCTAGTGTTATATTTCATAAAAATCAAAACTCTTCAAATCGATGCCTTGTTCCATCATATATATATATATATATTACTTCTTGAAAATCAAGTTTATGTACAAGCATGAGACCCCGTCACAACTTGTTTTGTTGAATAAAAAATAGAGTAAAATCTCTAATTGATTGAGAAGAAAAAAAAACTCTCTTTAGAATAATCTCACAAAATTGTAAAAGGGAAGAACTCTTAAGAAAGCTTTCAAATGCTTATAATTAAGCTTTGATTGTTGGATGATAAAACTCAAATACAAGTAGGGTATTTATAGGTTACAAGAAACAATCTAAATCACTCATTAAAATAAGCACTAAATAATCTAAACCATTGAAATTAAAACATGAGAAAAATATTTAATTTTCACCTAACTAAATTGATGTAAGCAATGACATCAAAACTAAATTAATGTAAGCAATGACATCAAATTAATTTAGGTGTGAATTTATTTAGGCTAATATTGAATTTTCAACACTCCCCCTCAATGTTAGCCTTCATTCTTTGAATCACGTCATGCTGACGACGGAAATGCTCAAACTTTCCAACACTCAAGCTTTTTGTAAACAAGTCAATAATTTGCTCATCTCTCTTGATTTGCCTCATCTCAATCTCTTATTGAAAAACTTTTTCCCTAACAAAGTGGTAATGTACTTCCACATGTTTAGTTCTTGCATGAAAAACAGGATTCTCCGCCAGCCGAATTACCGATTGGTTGTCACAGTACAAAGGAATTGCATAATCTACTGGTTGATGTAGATTATTCATAAACTGTATCAACCATGTACTTTCTTGAGCTGCCATTGCTGCTGCTCGATACTCAGCTTCAGTGGTTGACAATGATACCTATTGGTTGTCTCTTGCTACACCAAGAAATTGTTCCGGAGCCAAGCTTAAACACATACCCAGTTGTTGATCTCCTGGTATCATGATCTCCTGCATAATCAACATCACAATAACCAACTACTTGTAGTCTTCACCTTTCTTGTACAAAAGACCATAGTCAATTGTACTCTTCATATATCTCAATATTCGTCGAACTGCTTCCAAATGAGGCTTCTTTGGATTTTGCATATATCGACTCATCACACCAACTGTATAATAAATGGCAGGTCGGGTCAAGGTTAAGTAGATCAGACTACCTACCAATTGTCGATACATTGTTGCATCTACCAAATCTTTTCCTTCATGTGCACACATTTTGATATTTGGTTCAATTGGCGTTGAAGTTGACTTGCATTCGAGCATTCCAAGCCTCTTCAACAAATCTTTAGCATATTTCTGTTGACATAGAAATATTCCTTCGTGTGTGCGATCAACCTCTAGACCAAGGAAGTGCTTAAGTTGTCCAAGTTCCTTCATCTGGAAACGAACTGATAAATTCTCCTTTGTCTGAAGAATTTCTGTCTAATCATCACCGGTTATGATTAAGTCATCCACGTAGACTAGCACGATAGCTAGCTTACCTTTATTGACTTTGACGAACAAGTTAGAATCTGCAGGTGTTACTGAATAACCACTTTTCGTTAGAAATTCAGCAATCTTATCATACCACGCCCTAGGTGTAACACCCCTAACCCGTATCCGACTCGGATACGAGTCCGAAGTGTCACATTTACTTTTCAAACATTTATTCGTATAAAATAGTGAGTAATTTAAAAACTTTGATAACATTTAACTTATTCAAAACGTTTACAAAATATATCAGAGTTCATACAATTTATATTTTTAGACTACATGCCAACTACACTCTATAAACAGTACATATATTTTCTGACCTGACATTTGGTAAGGAGAACTGACCTGTCTTGCTCCGCATTACTCTTTACTCTTCTCGAAACCTACGTGTGAAACAATCACACGCTAAGTCGAAGACTTAGTGAGGCATAAAAACTTATAATGCTCTTTATAACATATATCAATACATGCATGTTCTGTTCTATCATGTTATACCAAATTACATGTTTTCTTCGTATCATATAAAATCATATCAGATTAATTACAGTAAATACATACATACACATAACTCATCATTAACAGTTCATCATGTAATCACATACTTTTATGCTTAGCCTTTTCAATCAAACACTATACACACACAACATCATATCATTTCTATAACATTTATCATATCACTAACATATATTTGTTTATATCTCTTGATTAGCCCATGTACATATGTGAGAACTATAGATATGTGAGTTTATGGAGGTTGTGCAGTAATGCTGTCACCACAGCTCATATAAATGCACCGAAGTGCCATATAGAATTGCACCGTAGTGCCGCGTAGAATTGTACCGTAGTGCCATATAAATCCCATAAGGACCACATATCATTCCTTAGAATCATATACATATACTAGGGATCAAGTATGCGTCTCACCAGACTTCACACATGTTCCAAAGAATACATATTGTCCCGAAGGACCACAATGTCCCGAAGGACACATATCATTCCTTAAGAATATACATATGCCAAGGATCAAGTATGTGTCTCACCAGACTTCACACATGTTCCAAAGAATACATATATGTCCCGAAGGACCACAATGTCCCGAAGGACCACATATCATTCCTTAAAATCATATACATATACTAGGGATCAAGTATGTCTCACCAGACTTCACACATGTTCCAAAGAATACATATATGTCCCGAAGGACCACATAGACCCTCGACTCTTGGCATGCCAACTATACCCCTAGCTCTCATGACACATAACATGGGCATTGTCATTTAACAGTTCACATTACTTGTCATTTCTTTCTGTCCATACCATATGTATGTGTAACCATGTATTCCATATATCACATGTTCATATAAGCTCATAGCTTCTTTTCACATATACATGTAATCACTTAGTCTATTTTCATGTAATTCTTTTTACTTCTCATATGATTTTATATTCATATCTCACATATTTCATATAGTCACTTGGCTTATTTCATTTCACATTGGGCATATCTCATAGCACATATCACACATGCGTATAATCATGTAACATATAATACCTATATC